ATCAGAGAGGTAATGAGCTCTTACACAATTTCAATGCTATTTCTCCCCACTGTATGCGTGAGCATGTGTGCATATAATTGAAGCTAAATGTTGACATTGGGTGTTTTCCTTGATTACTCTCCACCTTATGTTTTGAAGGGTCTCTCACTGGTTCTGGAACTCACTCATTCAGCTGGACTGACTGAGCGACAAGCTCCAGGAATCCTCCTGCCTCTGCCTCCCAGCACTGGGATTCCAGGCACACACTGTAACTTTAGCTGATGGGGAGTAACTTCCGTCCTCACACTTGCACAGTCAGCACTCTAGTACCTGATCTATCTCTCAGCCCTACAAGAAAATACTTGTACTCATTTTTCCAATGCCTTTTTTCCTGATGGTGCTGGCCAGGGCTGTGAGTGTGCTAAGCTAACACTCCCAGTCAAAGGTATTTTTTCATTTATTCATCATCCTCTTTTGAAATGAAGCACATTGTGTATGATTTAACAGTTTGACATAAATCTATGGTATGTTTAAGGTCCTTTATTCTAATTGCTACCATCTCCAGCACTTTATTCTAATTGCTACCAACTCAACACTCTATACCTCAGGCTAGCCTCATTACCCCTAGTGCTGCTTCCTGACTCCCGAGACTTTGTGTGTACCATTGTGTCCACATAACCGGACTTTTAAAACTTAGGCAATCTGCCAAATCCTGTACACTGAGTCACTAAGCTACTCTACCTGCACAGCAGATATTAAACCTGTCAAAGTAGCATTAAAGGATAACCACACAGTGCTACAGGGATGCATCTAGAGGCCACAAATTGAGGTGTGGTATTCTTTCCTATAGAAAGTACTTTCAGGTTTTTGATGCATATTTTTCCATTGTTAGGCTACAACTTCCCACTGCCATTATCTTCATTTTTTTTTTTTTTATTTTGTTTTTGCTTAGAAGATCACTCTGTGTCATTTACTGAAGGTTTGGACACCAGATAACCAAGATGGATAGAATAGTATATGTCATTACAAAACTATCCAGAGCAGTTTCTCCTGTTGAATGAGTAAGTAAGGTTTAATGATGGCTCAGGATGGCTATTTTCATTCTCTATGGACATTTTTCTTTCTTAAGCTACTGTCTCAAGTCAAGATAATTAGCATTACTTACGTAATCAAAAGACTTGTTTTCACCTGGGATATTTTAAGTTTACCATATAGCTTACTGAATGATACCCTAGTAGCCATGTACAGATAAGATGAAAGAAAGTTACCTTGTAAATCATTTTCACAAGTTCAGTCACCGTAAATGATTTTTCAAAGTTATCACGGATTAATGAAAGAATCTGTTCTTCTCGGCTATTTCTGTGAGAAATATATTCCAGGATTTTAGCTTCAGCATTATGGATTACTGGGCCATGTCCTGAATTAAAAGAATTATACAAGTTACTGCAACCAAATAAAAAACACTAGGTACAAAGCTAACTCACTCTATTTGAAAACAATTCATATTCAGTACTGAAAAGCACATAAGTCCATAAATATTCATTGCTTGGAAAGCTATACCACAGGTCTAAGATTTAAAGACTGTATGCACAGGACATTTTGTGATGGGAAGTCTCATGAGACTCTCCCATCTATTCAGTCACTGTTAAACTGCCAATGCCCCCTCCTGCAAAAATCTTTTACCCCAGCTCCTGTAAGCAACCTTAATTAAACTCATTGGATCACCAAAGAGAGACATGAACCAACAGGGGAGGAGCTCAGGAAGAGGAAGGGGTCAGTGGAATGGGAGGGGTCAAGAAATAAATTAGGAGTCGAATATAATCAAAATATACTGATAAAAGATGTATTCTATTATTTCTGTGTACATCTGTCTGGGTATGTGAATGAGTATATGGGTGCTTGTGGAGTCCTTGGCTCCCCTGGAGCTGGTGTTATAAGGACTTGTGAGCCACCCGACATGGGAACTGAACTTCCGTCATCTGAAAGAACAGCAAGCACTCTTATCCACTGAGCTCTCTCTTCAGCCCCTCTAAATACATTATATAAATCTATGAAAATGTCCCAATGAAACAGATTATTATATATAGTTAACATATGCTAATAAAAAGCACTACATTATAGATAGCCTGAAGAAAACTAAAGCTTTGATGGCAACAATAAAAGATTGTGCATAATGCCAAAAACATTTAGAGAATTATATCAAGTAAAAATATATAATGCTAGCATGCACCTTAAAATATAAGATCTATTTTAGCAATGATATATGCACTAAAACAGAAACCACAATGTTAGGTAGTATGTAATGTCCACTGTGTGCTCAGTATTATTCCATGTACTTGAAGTACTGTGTGCTTTCAAGGATCCCATGAGGTGGGTATTATTACTGTCCACAGGGAAGGTACATAACCTGCCTACAGCTGTATAGCTAAGAAGAGGTGCAGTTGAGATTCCTATTAAGCAGCTTTTAACCACAATGGGTGCTGTCTTAACCACTATAGTCAGCTTAACTAACAAAAGACCACAAAGGGAGAACACAAAAGCATCCTAAGATCCACAGAAGAGCTAAAATCTCCCAGCAAATGTAACAGTTCAGAACTTGTGACACCCAGATGCAGCTACACTGAAATCGGCCTGTGCTTTAAACAGTGCAGTATAATACACAAGTTCACAAAAGGGGTGTTTTAGATCTTCCAGATGTAGGCTAACCTGGAATCAAATGAAGAGCATTGGACTTTGGTTTGTAACAGGCTGTTTCTTGAGCCCTGGGAGGAAAAGTGGATCTCTTTGAGCCTGTTTTCTTAGCTGTGTAGTGCTACCAGCACCTCTTCCCAGGGCTCTTGTAAGGTCCCTGCATGATACCTGCAGGGAAGCAGTCCTTACTGTATGGTAGCTATGGTGACACAGCATAGTTTACATAAAAACAGCCTCCCTGCTAATACTATGTGAGGTTCACTGAATCCAAGCCTCTGAGAACCTTTGCAGGCAGCCTTTCATTGGCCTAGCTTAGGAGTACCTTAAGCAGCTACTCCTTTACCTTTCATGCGGCCATCATGTCATGATCCATACATGTCCAGCTATACAGTACATTTCCTATTCCCTAAGCACCAAGAACTCATGAGAGAATTCAAGTGTACTGACAGATCTGCCCATGGCTGTTTTGTTAGGTGTGAGTTAGAAAATGAGCCAATTCCCCTTTCCCTTCTGGGACTCTTTCTGGGTTCGTCTACGATATGGAGAGAACATTCATATTGCAAGCAGTGCAGTGATATCTGACATATAACAGGGTTTTTCTTCTGGAGATTGGAAATGTACCATTTTACAGTTGCTATGGAAACCTGACATGTCAACATTTCGAGTTAAAGTACAAAGGGCAACTCTACCCAAAGTTCCACAGCCAGAATGTGGTTTACAAGAGAAGTCAGTTAATAAAAACAACAGTGACTGAGACATTTTCCTATTCCCTTGTAAGCTTGTTTTCTTTCAACGGTTTAGTCAACAGCTGTGTGGACGCTGAAGAAAATTTACAGAAAATGTTATGGACATGGCTCTCTGCCAGGAAGGAACTAAGGGTGTAATTTAAAGACGTAGGGTAGGGCTTCTCAGGTGAGATGGCGGCTATTGGAAGCTCCCTCTGTTTAACTCCATGGATGAGAAGAGTCAGGGTAACAAAGAGCAAACTAAACTGAGGGAGGAGGAAGGGCAGAGCCCTGGGAATCAAGAATGAGATAAGGGGGCATCTAAGAGGCATGGAGAAACACAGGGGGGATACAGAAAAAGGTGTTGAAACCATCTTCAGTTCCAACGGAAGCTCCCGAAGGAGAAGCTGAACTGCAACCACAAGGGAAGGCAGGTGGTTCTGATGTCAACGAACTAGCTGTCCCAGCTGCTAGAGAAACCCACACTTCTAGAAGGCTCGAAATCTAGCATGGGGATTTAGTGTGATAGAGACTTCTGTGTAGCAGGCCAACTGTGAAGCAGCAAGCTATTACTGTGTTGCCATACCTTGCAGTGCTACGGCCCAGTGCAATCTTGAGAAGGGGCTTACTGTTTGAGACTGAGCTCTGTTGGGATCTGAGGGGACAGGCTGCCACTGTGTCTGCCTGTGTGGAGGAGGGCTGCAAGAAGCAGCGATAGAGATGGGGGGTGGTTCCATGTGGATTTGCCTAGTTCAGGAAGCAGGAACAGAGTGGGCTATGGGGTTGTGGTGACTGGTCACCCTGCTCTGTGTGGCCAGGAACTTACTGTATTGCTCATGGAGAGCTGTGGGCCCTTGGCCTTAGGAGCCGCCTTTCAGCATGTGTCAGTGTATCAGTGTAGGAGTGAGCTCCGAGCACAGGTATGGGAAAGCAGTAGACTCCCCGCTGCCTTCCTCCTGCATGGTGCCGCACTGCATGGCAGTGTCTGGAGGCTCTGAGGCCAGCAGTCACACTGCTGAGTTTCTTCAGTGGTTCATGTCCATTGAGGAACTCTGACACCTGTGTGGATACCCCTTGGCTTAGAAATTGGACATCACTGGGTGCAAAACGTGGTGGACGTTTGGAGCTTCCTAGCTTCACAGGCCATAAAAGTTGGGGCTGGCATAAGAAGGAAAGCTCTAATGTGAAGGAAGCCCCAGTGCTATCAAGAATCAATGACTGATGACATTAAGACATTATTACATTCAAATATCAGTAAGACTAAAAAACAAAAACAAGTAACCATGGCCACAACACTCAAGACCTCTGCGACAGATGGAGAGACCAAGCCTATGAATGTGTAGCGTTGTGAAAGAAACTAAATTACTGACAAAAGACACAGAAAATGCATTCAGTGATGTTACAACAGAACAATCCCCAAATGTAGGGAAAGAAATGGACATTCAGGTTCATTCAAATATGACCAGAAGCAGCCTTTCCATATCATATTATAGTGAAAATTCCCAGAGGACAGAACAATTAAAGAATACTGAGGCTGCACAGGGTATGTCAAGTCACAGAGGAAAATCTGTTAGAATAAGAGCAGACATGTCAGCAGAAACCTAAGGCCTGGAAAGCACAGACTGATGGATTTCAAGCCTGGAGACTAAGTTTATTATACACTTGGTCAACCAAGTTTATTATACACTCACAGAAGTTAATTTTTAAAGATTTCACAATGCAAGCATAAACTAAATAAATCTGCATCTCATGAGAAGTCACATAACAGCTATGAATGCTTTACATTAAAAAAAAATCGGAGGAGCTGGTAGGATGGCTCAGTGAGTAAAGGCCCCTGCTGCTAAGTCAACTGACCAGAGTTTGATCCCCAGGACCCACATGGTGGAAAGAGAGAACCAACACTGAAAGTTGTCCTCTGACCTCCACATGTGTGCCATGCATACACATATGTACACACACACACACACACACACACACACACACACACACACAGATGTAAACAAACATTAAAAAACCAGAGATATAGAATAAATAACCAAACTAAGCACATTGATATTTTGAAATAAGAAAAGTCAAGCCCAAGATTAATAAATAGAAATAACAACAGTTCAGGGAAGAAAGTAATGAATATGAAAACAGACTGAAAGAATACAAAGGACCAACAAGAGAGATGCTTTTTTTTTTAAGTATAAGACTCTCAAACCCTTAGCCAAACTAACCAAAAGCAGGAGGAAAGAGTTAAACAAAATTGAACATAAAAAAAGAAATACTGTAGGAGACTACTGAACTTCTGATCACCACACATTTTGTAAACCTATTCTAATAAATTGGAACATTAAAAAGAAATTGATCAATTTCTAGCCACATATGACATACCAAAATTCAAACAAGAGGCTAGAAACAACCAAATAGATGTGTAGTGGGAAATAATTTGAAGTTGTGCTGGAGGCCCTCAAGAAAAGCCCAGGACCAGAAGAATTCACTACTGAAAAGTAGTGGCCCTTTAGGGAAAACTAGCACCCATGATCCTTGTGGTAGTTTGCATGTAACTGGCCCCTATAATCTCATAGGAAGTGGCTCTATCAGGAGGTGTGGAGGAAGACTGTCACTGTGGGGCTGGCTTTGAGGCTTTCTACGCTCAGGATACCACCCAGTGTCTCAGTCAACTTTCTGCTGCCTGCAAGATCTCTGACTCTCAGCTACTATAGTACCATGTCTGCATGCTGCTGTGCTCCTGCCATGATGAAAATGTACTAAACCTCTGAAACTGTAATCGAGCCCCTGCAACAAAATGTTTTCTTTATAAGAGTTGACGTGGTCTTGTTGTCTCTTCACAGCCATAGAAACCCTAACTAAGACAATCCTGAAACTGTTCCACAAGACCGAAGAGGAAGTAACCCTTCCAGACCCAGGACACTAATCCAGGGTCACCTCACTACTGATGCTGCTAAACAATGATCCAACAACAAAGGAAAAAAGGCCAATGCCCTTAATGAACACAGATCCTAAAGCAAAACAAAACCTAGCAAACTGTATTCAATAACACCTTAAAATATATTATCATGATCAAACTGATCTAATTCTAAAGATGGTTCAAAATATACAAGCAAGCAAATCAAAAATCAAATGTCCATATCATCAGAAGCAGAAAAATGTGACAAATTCAGCATCCCTTTATGATAATGGCCCTGATGAATGTAGACTAGGATCACTAAACTTGAGCATAATAAAGACTATTTGTGACATGCTTAGTGGCTAATGTATAGACCAGAGAAAAACAAAGCATTTCCTCTAATTCTAAGACTGAGACAAGAATGCCCACTGTCTCCACTCTAGCTCAACACAGTGCTCGAGCTCTTAGCTGGGCCAATAGCAAAGAGAAAGAAATGCAGTGTGGTCTGAGTGTGAACTCCCTAGGTTTGTCTTCTGAGCTAGTGCTGCTTTCTTCTGGGTCTATTTGGGATCTCTTGGAGTTGGGCTACATAGCAGAAGTCAGTCACTAGGAGAGGGTCTTTCCAAGTCACACATGACTCCTGCATCTTTTTGCTTCTCAGGTGTGAACAGTATCTGGTATGCATTCTGGCTGCCAGAAACTGAGTTGTCCCAGGCAGGCCTTCCCTGCCATGAAGGCCTAAAACCATCTACAACTACTGAGTTAAAATAAGTCTTTTATCCCTTGGAGTTCCTGTCAGGTACCACAGTCCAGTGGCATAAAAGGAACTGTCCCAAAGAAGATGCAAATATAAAGAGCCCAGTTTACCTTTCTCTACAGATAACATGGCCCAACACCCCAGAGATCTAAAGAGGGCACCGGACTGATAAAGGCTGTCAGCAAAGTAGCAGGGAGTCAATCAACATGAAATGATTTTTTATATATCAACAATGAATTCACTGTGAAATAATCAGGAAAACAATCTTACTCACAGCAGCCTCATCCCTGTTCCTGGTTACAAACAAAACAAACAAAAACAAATAACGCCCCCAAGCCCAACAAAAATAAATAAATAGAAGACGTGAAAGACCTCTATTATGGAAACTATAAGGCACCGTAAAAATAACCTGAAGGAGACACAAATACATGTTCATGGATTGGCAGAATTAATATGTGAAAACAGCCTTATTACCCCAAATGATAAACAGATTCAATGCAAATCCCCATCAAAATTTTGGTAACATCCTTCATACAACCAGAAAGAACAGTTATCAAATCTATTGACAAAAGTTCTCAAGCAGCCAAAGCAAACTTGAGCAATGCTGGGAGTATCATAGTATCTGATTTCAAATTATTTGACAGAGTTACTATAGCAAAAACAGTATGGTTCTGGCACCGACATTGATACACAGAAAGAGCCCAAAGTAAATCCCCACGGCTATGCTACCTAATGATTCCTAACGAAGGAGCCAAATCAGAATGATGAAAATATAGCCTTTTAGCAAACAGCCAGGGAAACTGATACACACATGTTGACAAGTGAAACAAAACCCATCTCTTGTAAAACAAGAATTCAAAATGGGCTGGGCAGTGGTGGTGCACACCTTTAATTCCAGCACTGGGGAGGCAGAGGCAAGTGGATCTCTGTGAATTTGAGGCCAGCCTGGTCTACAGAGGGAGTTCCAGGACAGGCTCCAAAGCTACAGAGAAACCCTGTCTTGAAAAATCAACCGACCCCTCAAAAACAAAAACCAAAACCAAAAAACCCAAAAACCAAAACCAAGATAAAACCCAAATGGATCAAGGGTCTCAACTTAAGACATGAACCTTTGAAATGACTAGAGCTAACCATGTAACAACACCTTATAAAAGGAAGGTGTGCAGGGGGGGAGCTTCTGAAAAGGACTCTTACAGCTCAAGTAAATGGGTGAGGACTGATGAAGAGGTGAGATTAAAAAGCTCTGTGCCAATAAAGAAACAAGTAGTACAGTGAAGAGACAGCCTACAGGCCAGGAGGAATCCCCCTCCTTCCCTCTCTCTCACTCTCTTACACACACACACACACACACACACACACACACACACACACACACACAGTATCTGTTCTGTTACTGAAGATAGTCTTGAATTTATTGTAATCCTCTTGTCTTAAGTACAAGTGTTGCAGCACATGCCATCATATCTAAAACTGCCTCAAAGAAGCAAACTTCAAAAGAAGTGCCAACAGATAATTAATACATGAAAGAATATTTACTATCATCAGCCACCAGCAAAATGCAAATCCAGACTACACTGAGATTCTAGTTCACTCCAGTCAGAATGGCTACTTTCCAGAAAAGAGAAAACGAGAAATGCTAGTGAGGATGGGGTGAAAGAGAACCATTAAACATTGCTGATAGAATTGTAAATTAGTATGGTCAGTATGGAAATAAGCTTGGTCATTCCTCCAAACCAACCAAACCAAACCAACCAACTTACAAAAAACACTATCATATGATGTACCACTGTTGTGCATACACCCAAAGAAATGAACAGTCACAAGCAATAGACACACCTAAATGACCATTAATTGGCACTAATTGCAATAGCAAGTTCAGGAATCAGCACAGTTGCTTGTTGATGGGTGAAGGAAATGAAGAAAAGTATTTATATATAATAGAATATTATTATTCCACAAAGAACGAAATCATGTTATTTGCTGGAAAATGGATGGATCATTATGTCAACATCAGAAAGTAAAGTATCACATGTTTCACACATATGCAGAATCTAGATTAAACCAAACATGACTGGCAAAAAAAAAAAAAGTCAATAAAACGATTCAATGATATTCTGCTATACTTTTAGACTGGTGCCTCGTCCAATTGTCACCAGAGAGACTTCATCTAGTAACTGATAGAAACAGATGCAGAGGATGCAGAGATCCATATCCAGAGCTTGGGGAATCCTGAGGAAGAGTGGGGAAGAAGGATTATAGGAGCCAAAGGGGTCAAGGGCATTACAAGAAAACACACAGAATCAACTAACCTGGGCTCAAAGGGGCTCACGGAGAAGTGACTACAAGGGGGCCTGCATGGGGACTGACCTAGGCTCTTTGCATATATGACAGTTATGTAGCGTGGTCTTCTTGTGGAATTCCTAACAGTGGGAACAGGGTCTGTCTACGACACTTTTGCCTGCTTTTGGGACCCTTTTCCTCACACTGGGTTGCCTCATTCAGCATTAATAAGAGGAGAGGTACCTAGTCTTACTTCAACTTGCTATGCCATGTTTGGCTGATATCCATGGGAGGCCTGCCCTCTTCTGGAGAGAAAGAAAGGAGGAGTGGATTGGGGGGGGGGCTAGAAGGAGAGGAAAGAGGGGATTAAAGTCTGGATTTAAAAAAAAAAAAGAAGCAATGAGGAGGCTGGAGAGGTGGCTTAGAGGTGAAGAACAGGCAATACCATTACAGAAGACCCGAGTTCAGTTTCCTGCCCCCCAATCTGGAAGCTCACAATCACCTGCACCCCCAGCTCCAGGTGACCCTCTCTGGCCTCCATGTGCACTGCACTAATATGCACAAATCCACACGTAGACACATACACATTATTAAAAATAAAATCTTAAAAAAATTAAGGTTGCAGCCTGGTCTACAGAGTGAGTGCAGACAGCCTCCAAAGCTACAGAGAAACCCTGTCTGGGAGTGGGGGTGAGGGAGAATGAACATTGCAGAAAGGGGACAGTTGGAAGGGGAGAGTAAAAGAAGGTACATTTTATAATATATGCGTGAGAATGCCAATATGAAACTAAGTATAGGCTAGAATAAAAACTTCAAATTGTCTACATCTATTTCAACTCAGAGAATCTTTTTGTTTGTTTGTTTGTTTGTTTTTTGTTTTTTTTTTGTGTGTGTGTGTTTTGTTTTCTCTGTGGCTTTGGAGGCTGTCCTGGAACTAGCTCTTGTAGACCAGGCTGGTCTCACCTCACAAAGCTCCACCTGCCTCTGCCTCCTGAGTGCTGGGATTAAAGGCGTGCGCCACCAACACCCAGCTAAAGGAACATTATCATGTTAAAACATGGCTTGCTAGATTAAAAAACATCACTCACCTGGATATATAATATTAGCTTTGATTTTTAATAAGTCTTTTAGTGAGTTCATATAATCATAGAGGTCTTCAAATACCGTTGTTCCTTCTCCTAGGATACAATCCCCAGAAAATATGGCGTTTTCCTCTTCCAGGAGTAAAGCCATATGGTCATCGGTGTGGCCAGGAGTATGTATAACTCTAGTCAAAAACAGAAGGTATGAATCATAAAATAACAAGTATGAATTCTTAGGCTTGGGGAAGATGTTGAGAAGTAAATAATTCTATTGTCTTTACACAAGGCATCAACATGCTGCCACGGAGTCAAAAATCTCATTATCTCATTTTTCCAGGGGTTGCTCATGGAAAACTGACCACAGACAAATATCCCCTATTATTAGATCACATTTTTTATTCAAAAGTACAAATTTAATAACAACTTTTCTCATTATTTTATAAATAAAAAGAGGATGATTGTAACAAATCTGAAATACATGAAAATATAAAAAGATAGAAATCAAGATTACTGAGAAGCAGTACTTTTAGTAGCTTTTCAATTTCCTATGCTAACAATTAAGAAACAAAGTTTTTAAAGTTTTTAAAACATTTTTAAAGATTTTTAAAGTTTTTAAAGATTTTTAAAGTTTTCATTTAGTTTATTGTATTTCTTTATATTATTCAATATTTTTCATAGGCAAATACATGTACTACATAATATTTGTCACAATGCTATATGTTTCAAAAATAAAATTTTACTCTTAAATGTACTTGTTTTCATGCATTTTTTAACTAAGTGTAGAGGCTGGAGAGATGGCTTGGCTGTCAGGTCTGCTGCTCTTGCAGAGGACCCAAGTTTGGTTCCCAGCACCCACACGGTGGCTCACAACCATCTGTCACTCTGGCTCCAGGAAATTTAACACCCTCTTTGACCTCTGCAGCACTACACATGTATGTAGTGCACATACATACATGATGGCAAAACACTCAAACAGATCTTAAAATCTAAATAAAGGTGAGGTACCTATTAATATCAAGAATGTTTGTAAACCATAAATATTTAAAACAATGTGATACAGAAACAAGGATAAACAAGTCTATAAAATCAGATAAAAACTCATAAACAATCCTAAATATGGGTATACAGAACTTGATGTGTGATTTGCTTTGGTAGCGCAGACTCTAAATAACCCCTCATCTATACTCCTGTAAGCAATCCTAATCAAATTCATTGGTAGAAATGCATTCGCACCCATGCACACCCATGCACACACACAGAAATGCTGTGGAAGTAGAATGGGGACTAGTTGGGGGGAAGAAAAGGATCAGCAGGGTGGGAAGGGAGTTAGGGAGAACAGAGGACAATAAAGGGGTGAATATGAAATGTACTTTATTCATGAATGAAAATGCCATAATGAAACCTATTATTGTCTATAATTGATATTTGCTAACAAAAATCCTTTAAACTTCAAAACACTGTGATATCTTTAAGTCATGAGAAATATCGAAAGAGCTTTTATTTATATTCACTTGAAGTTTTATATCTATACTAACAATAAACAAAAAGTCTAACTAGCTTGTTCTGCAAAACCTCTTGATTTCTCAGCCACATTTAGTCCTGAAGACTGGTACCCCCTCCCCCATTTTACTCTTTTATCTTGAATCATACTTGCAATTATAGGTTGCACACTGTCTTACTTGTTTAGCACTCAGTGGGCTGACAGGCAGGACTCCTTCCTTTTTTCCACTGCCTATTTCCAGCACTCAGCTCTTAGTGGCATCTAATTTTGATCCATAGCCTTCCATGTCTCAGGCACTGACTTCAAGGGCTTGTGAGAACTGCACATTTAATCCGTACACTAACTTTTCCGTTTTAGATGAGTGAATCACAGAAGACAGCAATAAATGTCTGAAGAATACAGTTCAAACTTAATTTTCCTTAGCTTCAGAAACTAATTCAATTACCTTTTTGTCTGATTTAGACATTGATTTTTATGGGCTTGAAATACTTTAAATAAAACTCTCAATAAAGAACTACTTAGGTAGATAGGGCAAATATAACTGCACATTTATATGTAATACTTAGGAACTCAAAGTGAGTTTTTGGTTAAAGACAGTAGAGTGTACATCTGCATCTGTTTTCCTTCTAAACCCCCAATGAAATTATCAGATTTTTTTTTTTTTTGTAATGGCATAACCTTACAGGGATGGAAAGAATAGTGGGAAGACCACAACTCCAGAGGCACAGATACTGAATGGGAGGTGAATGATGAGGGAATTAACAGTCAAAGCCGAGACCTCAATAGTCAGAGGAAGTGGAGAACAACCTAGATCACCCAGAAGAATCCCTGAAAGCTAAGCATTTGGGGCATCAGGAATCTGGAAGAAAAGGGGCAGAAGGGGGAAAGGTGGCTAAAATAAAAAAGATTGAAGAATCTGTTGAACAAATATTCAGGGCTGTGGCTGTACTCAGTGGTACACATGTGAGGTCCTGGGTTCAATCCTCAACACTAAAAATCTCAAACAAACCCCAAATAAGAACTTTCTAAATATTTAAGTTCCATTCTCACTCTGAGCTGTTTGACAAGTGTTCTAAGTCTGTTAATAGGAAGTGACTGATCTTCCAATAGTGTAAAACAGGCTAGAATGGAAGTAGAGATAATATTTAAGAAAATGAGGATTAGTTGAACACAGGTAGATTCCTTTTTTTTACATCAGTTTACATAATGTTGTCTGTGAGGTCTTTACCCCTTCTGAAGACCTCAAAAAAAGCTTTTTCTTAAGTTATTTTACTACCCTGGGAACAGACTAAATTGTGAAAAAAAAAATGGGCAGTTCAGAGCAGTTCATCTAGATTATGGCACTATGAGGCTTATGCCTATAACTCTCAGGGCTTAGAAATAGCTCTGTAGTTTTCATCAGAAGAAAATCAGGAAATATGAGAGGGTAATTAAGATAATTAGAATACATTGCATGCAGTGGGTAAAAAAAAAGCAAATAAATCTAAAAGCAACAAACTACAAAGAAGAAACCTTCTAAAACAAACCCCACTGACTATAAAACCCTCAACAAGAAGGGTGTTGGTGGCGCACGCCTTTAATTCCAGCTCTCAGGAGGCAGAGACAGGTGGATCTCTGTGAGTTTGAGGCCAGCCTGGTCTACAGAGCCAGTGCCAGGATAGGCTCCCAAGCCACAGAGAAACCCTGTCTTGAAAAACCCCCCCCCCCCAAAAAAAAAACCCTCAGCAAGATAAAAAGAGACTCTTAACCAAAGCACAAGACTAGGTTTGTCTATGAGGAGCACCAAGGGAACACACTGACAAATCAAAGATCCAAACCTCCCAAATGCAGAAAGAAGTAAAATGAGGGAAACCTGCAGGGAGAATGGAGCAGATGCGCATAGTTCTGACAAAACAACTGGAGTGCTAATAAATAAACTAAGAAAACAGGTGAGAGAATGTAATCAGAAGCAACTTCAAGAAAAATTTCTAGAACCGAAAGCTGTATTTCCAGACCGAAAAGTCCTATTTGGAGTTGGACAAAGATTTCTTCCTATGGTCAAAACTTTGGCCAGGCTCCCATGAATTCTTTCTTTTTCTTTTAAAAAGTGTATTTATTTTATGCATATGAGTGTTGTACTTTCATATCTGTATGTGCACCGTGTGTGTGCCTAGTGCCTACAGCGTTCATAAGAAAGTATGGGATCCTACAGCGTTCATAAGAAAGTATGGGATCCCCTAAACTTGAGTACCAGGTGGTTGAGCCATTATGCAGGTCTTGGGAACCTAACCTGGGTCCTCTGTAAGAGCAGTAGGTGCTCTTAACCACTGAGCCACTTCTGTAGCCTCCAGGGGCTTCTTCTAATGACTGGACCTACAACAGCCTACTCTGAAATATGGCTCCTGCGGCATCCCGAGTGGGCCAATCAGAGAGTATCAGAGAAAAGGAAAAGCAGAGGGTTTCTCTGACCTCCCAATGCTTTCCCCACTTTAACTAAGTTTTCAAACCTAGAAGGCATTCTTGACTTTCCTCTGAAGTCTTCATGCTCAGATACAGACAGCCTCTTCTGAAGACAAGGTCATCTCTTGTCCAGTCACACTTCTCTATGACTACTTACTCCATCAAACAGCATGAGAATAGGTAGTGTTCTTTGTGAATTTGGGTCTTTATTTGTGAACACTCCAGTGCCTCATAAAAGCATCAAAGCTATTGTTCCCCTGTCATTCTGTCTTTGTCAATTCTATCTTCCAAC